GTGAAGACACTGATTACCTTTCCTACAGTTTAACAGCGCGGGTTTTCGCGACCAATATCACCCATAATAGAGGTTTTTTTTGGGTTAGATCGCGTAAATATATAAACGTGTCATTAAAACCCGCCACCACCCGACACAGCCAACTAGTAAGAGTTGTTGTCACGTGAACAGAACGTGCCAATTCGTCACTAGTACAGCACTAGTGTGTAGTGTAGTGTAATAGTAGTGTAGTGTATAGTCTAGTGTATAGTGTAGTGTATAGTAGTGTATAGTATACTAGTACAGCACACCGGTGTGTTGGAGAGCCAAGCCAAGACATTTACAGTCTGAGTACGACGTTTCGCCAATAATTACAACTAGCTTCATCAGGTGACAGCCAGATTTGTGGAGTAGTCTTACTGTTTTGTTCCTTCTAAAGAGTCGTAGATGTGGTGATCACGCTTGTGCGGTCTTGCACAATGTAGGGGGGGGGGGATTACTGAGGCAACGTACATGATGCATGTGCATTACGCGAGCCTTTGATCTTGTCCTTCCTGTCTATTGTGTGTATTAAAATAGACCTGCCATCGGTAGTCCCTATTGAAGTATGCTGCCCTTTGTAGGCATGCTTTTAAGTAATGTATTATTTGACGATTCGTTTCCACACAGCACTAAGGCGCTAGCTATCCGAACTGGTTAAAGTTATTTTTATTTAGAAATTGAAATAAATAAAATCACTTTAACACTTCATCAAAGTCCTTGATTTAACATCCTGTCACTTTAATGACTGCTGCAACACAAAGCATGGTTTGCTAGTCAGACCCAACAAACCTCATCACTGTTTTTATTAGCATTGCCTTATATGTGTATTGGTAGAGCATTTTGGGCAATGGTATGATTAGTATGCCATTTTTGGCAATATAGTGCATTTTACAATGTGGTGCCTTAAAAAAGTCGTACATTTGTGGTTGAAATTTGGAGACAGTTTAAATAGGGACAGTCTTTCTGCCGTTATTCGATAGCAAATTGGCAAAGATTCAACCCCACCGTGGTATGATAAACTACCACAAATCATGTGCATACATTTAAAACAATCATACCAGTAAAATATGTTTACCATGCACGTAAGAATCCATATGAAATCAATACGTCGTTAGATTGTAACATTAAATGCGTGCATTAGTTTAAGTTCAGGAAATACAACGATTTTACACTGCAAACAAATGGTCAGTTCTTAATGGTAAAAGAGCATCCTGCGAGCACTGTGTATGCATACAACAGGAGAGGCGAATGGGTCATGATTTTTATAATTATATTAACAAGCACTGATTGCTGTTTCAGGTAGCAAGCTTCCTTAATGTCTCAACGATAACTCGCCTTCAGCCATTCACGCCTAAGCGCTGTAAATTAATTAACTCACTCCATCGAGGGACTGGGCCCTGTAGAAGGCTGTCACATTAATTAAAATGTGTTGTTTCTTTCACATGTAACAAGACTGTTTGAGTAGTCAAAATGCAAACAAAAAGAAACAACTCTGATGATGATAATGATATGCACTGTCCTTGAAGTTGATTGGTCCACACCCGAGACAGCTTTCTTTAGAGCCTAGTCTCCATTGGTGTTGGACCAGATGACACCAAAAGGCATACAACTAAAAAACAGTGCACTATCAGAGTATTGAGAGCTCGGGGAAAGCATTTACACTATGAGACCTCCTTTACCAGTGGCAAAATATAGAAGTAGGTTTTTACCCTTTAAACTGGTACAAAACTGACACCTTTATACAAGGCATCATGTTTGCAATAACCACAACACAAGTAGTCAAAATGCAAACAGCCTCCACAGTACAGTATTTGTTTAAAAGAGCGGCCATGCTCGAGGTGGGATCGTTGCATTAAATTGCCATAATACCTGAACACCATTGGCATGCGATGACACTTCAATGCATGCGACTGAAAGTGATTCCTTTTGCCGACAGGTAATTACACTGAATGGGGCACGTACGAATGCATTAGTTGCAACTCATACGCGTCACATGTAATTGGTTAAAATTGCCCCTGCTGTGACCGACGGTGATATATTTTGCCACAAACATTAATTCTGGATTGAATCATCACCATGAATCGTGACAATTCATTCAGTTGTGATGGGGACAAAATGGCTTACGTGCCTGGAATATGGTAAACATGCATAGCATTAGTCATCTTTTAATGTCTGTATGTTGAACTTCTTTCACACCGTACGTAGCCAATCACGGTAATTCGAGGTGTGGGAGAAGGACAATAAACTGAACAAAAAAAAGCAGTTCTAAAGAAATGAGTTTTCAATCTAGATTTAAAAGTGCATAGCTCCAGTAGCTTCCTAATTTTTGATGGAAGAGTATTCCAGATGGCCGCAGAAGCACATCTGAAAGAGCAATGCACACTTATGCTAAGGTCAGAGTGAATGCCGCGAGGTGGTGGACAAACATTGCGTGCAATTTAAAGTGCAAGTTCATATATGTGTACCTATATACATCCTATCTCTTATACAATGTTACAATTTTTCTGTTTATACACACTTTTCATGAATTCTGTGAAGGGGAACTCTTTAAATCCCAACAAAATGAAATTTCAACTAAATAGCCTTCAGTAAGCACTTTTTCAAATAGTGAAACTACAAATTCCAACCGCATCGAATCACCACAAGAGGGAAAGTTTGGCAATTAAAGTTTTCATAAATTGGCTTCACAATTTTTATTGCAAGGTCCTGTGGCTGCGCTAATCTGATGTGCCATGACAGTGTCACATGACACCACTTTACCATCTGTCTCGTCTGAAAACTTCGACTGGCATCCACTAACCTGGGGCTCAGGGCCAAGAGATGTAAATAACCTACAAGGAACGGACCTCCGCATTTGCATTCAAAGAACGGTAATTACTTTGACAAAGGATCGCGATATGTGCTGAATATCCTGACCAGTGCGCCCAGGACAGGGCAATGCATACGCCTCTGCTGAGCAATTCACATGATATATATCGTGCAATATGCAGTAAAGACCAGAGCAGCAGAGCAGCAGAACAGGGCACAAGCCAAAGCTGGCTTGAGATTGCCCTTGGATTTCCCACGCCCACATTAAAACACACAAGTCATGGGCAGGACGGTGCAGAAATTGAACACTGAATGTCAGCCTGAAGGCCTGTGGGAGGCTGAAGGAAGAAAGATGTTGTTCTTTAGGCCATCAGTTGCATCCAGCCAATGTCACGCTGGCCACGGCAGCTGATTTTTCTTTGGAGGGGTTTTGCTCTCACGATGAAGTCTGAATGCCCCGCTGTGCAGGTGAACGTAACCTCCAGCAGGCTGTCTCTTGGGACACTGCTGGAGAGTGGTTTTTCGCTGGCTCGTGTAAGCCCTCCTCACAATTGCACAAGAGGCACATCCATATGTTTGTGATCTTTAGAGACTTGTTAGGCCTCTGCCAACCGTGGCCATCGTGGCCTTTAACTTGCACTTCCGATGAAACGTTAAAATAAATACACGGGCCTTGTAGGATGGTATCCAGCTGGGTAACACTGTGGCAGATACTTGATTCAGAAAGATATGAGTCAGGGGTCAACTCGACCTATCAAGATTCCAGGGTCAATACATTTGACTACAGTATCACTGTGTAAGAAGTCAACAGTAGTTACCTTACGGAGGGACAGGTCTCCATCGTACGATTGTGAGAATAATACCGTCGAAGATCATTAAAATGCCAAATGCTCATTTGAGCATGGGGACACTTTGACCTGTAAAAGCATTGTACCAAGTGTATGCATCGGTGCTTAGCAATGGCGCATTGCACATTTATATGGCTGATATGCATTTTTTAAGTTCACTTCAGCTTTTCTCCCATTCAAGTTTATTTTTTTCTATAATGCAATTATTATAACAGCATTAAAATCCAGTGTTTGATTCGTGAGTTGTCAGATAATTTTAATGTTATCAGATGTGTTAATCAGCAGGACGCTGCACTAACCAAGATTACATTCAGGGCTAAATTAGTCAAAAAAATGTAATAGCTTTTGTCATTGATGTTTCATTTTCATTTTACCTGAAAATAAATAAAAGAAAAGTGACTGGTATAAAGAGAAAATTACTCAAAATAATTGAACTGAACATTTCTATTAATCAAATATAAAAATATATATATACATGAAAAGTATTCTTAAAATGTATAATCAACCTCCTCATACTCACATACACACAGTGAAAACTGACAGCATATAGATGCAATTTAATATACACAAATGAACTGTTACATTCATTTAGTCATTAACCCAGACACACCTAGCTTTGTAGCTATTCTAAGACATCCAGCCAGCATGGAAGAGTAGGCCACAGTACCCTCGACATCTAGAGGGGCTCTGTAGCGCTTGATCTCATGGAGATCTTGCAGCGGCGTGAGCGAGACGTTGCATCGATGCACCTTTGTCTTATTTTCTATCCTAGCTTTGCAGACGATGGGTTAATAGGCTGCGCACGTAGGTAGACAGATGGATTAATAAGTATGTCGGCAAGTAGGTTGGCAACAAGGTAGAAGTCAGGCATATATACAGCAAGGTAGCTAGGTAGATATATAGATAACCATTTTAACGCCATGAGAACTCACACACATACACACATCCAAGTCTCATTTGCAAGGAATGTCCACAAAGCAGGGTTTAACGTAACTTGTCGCCATGTGCTGATGGTGGGAAATGACAGAGGTCTGAAGCCATGCATCTGCTGGGCTGCCCTGGACAGACTGGCCCTGTTTACCTATCCAGGGCAGCCCCGGACAGGCTAGCCATGTCCACCTGTCCAAAGATGCCCTGGGCAGGTGGATCATGTCCACCTGTCCAGGGGCAGACCCGGACCGGCGGGCGCTGTTCATCTGTCCGCCTGTCCAGGGCTGCCCTGGGCAGGTGAGTCATGTCCACCTGTCCAGGGCTGCCCTGGGCAGGTGAGCCCTGCCCACCTGCGCCTGTCCAGGGTGGGCCCCGCGCAGCGACCGGCGGTACCTGTGCGGGGGGTGACGAGCGTGTGTAGCTGGGCAGGATCTTGAGCACGACGCTGCCCGTGGCCTCGCGCAGGAAGCGCTGCAGCCCGGCGGGGTCATTGGTGACGTCGCGGCCGTTGACCTCACGGATGACGTCGCCAACGTGCAGGAGGCCCTGCTGGTCGATCATGCCGCCCCGCAGGATGCGCGCGATCACCAGCTCGCTGCTCTCAACGCGGAACGTGACGCCCTGGGGCGGCGGGAGAGCGCATGCACGTGCGTGCAGGATTAATACGCAGATCGAGCAGGGACGATGATCTGGCTCAGTCGGTCGACTAGAATCCATAATCGAATGTTTTTAAATCCTTTATATTAAGTTCACTTGCTTGCTTGCTTGCGCGCTTACGACCGTGCAAATCTTTCGGTCGTTTTTTAACCCACTTCCCGTGATCCAATCGAGCTGACATTTTGCACACAGACTCGTTGTGCGTGACAATGTATTTTCGTGAAATTTTTTTTCAAAAATTTTACACTTTTTAGGAATTTTTTTTATATTTAATTACCAATTGCTTAATGGTGGCAGGCAATCATCTGACCCATAGGTGGCAGCCATCTATCTCAAGCCAGAGGACGAGAGGACTCTAGCCGCCACGCATATAAAGGATTTATAGTGAAAAACTTTGTTTTTACGGGTTAATTTTTTGCAGTCTGTTAGGTGCTCCCCTGTAAAAAAATAAAAAGGTGGCTAACCCCGGTATCTTGCTGCCCGGAGGTGGGAAACTGTTGGGGCAAGTACAGTGAATGAGGCCCCTGGGGTGGTGTGGCTGACACTATGTGCAGCCACCTTACGCAACTCGCCAGGTACGCATTTCGGAACACCTGGACACCCTTGGAAATGTTCCACCTCAAGGGATTTACCAGGTGGAATATTTTAATGAAAGAGAAGTTAAAGGCTAAGTAGACCGAGGGGGCAGGACTTTCCACTGAAATTAGTAGTGGTCGGGGATCTATCTCAACACGGCATATTCATAGTGCAGTGCGCTAACCTTTGCACCGCTGCTCCCCACTAAAACACACATGAACACACGACAGAAGCACAGGCACACAAAAGGTGAGACGCATATTTGTTTCAATTACTGATGGCGACATCGCATCAAAAGTCCCACGTTTGATTTGTTCACTGATCAACACCAGGCGATAAAACCCTGGTCTCCTCCTTGGATCACAGTGAAGTGTGCGAACCATTCCACAAGCACGTGCGAGCGCAATGGATTGGAAAATGGCTGAAAAGGAGCCCTCCATCTATGTCTTCATACCTTCGAATCGTCAATTACTCGGTTTCAATAACCAAGCGGGTGCACTGTGTGTCAGTTCAAGTGGTTCGATGCCACGGAAGCAAAACAGTCACGCGGTTTCCAGCGAGGGATGTTATAATGCAATCACTGTTCACGTCCCAAGTATAATGTGATAACCTTAAACTTTTAAACAAAACCATTTGCTCGTAAGGTTAACCAAAATCCCACAGATCGTGTATTTGCACCCTTGCGTGTCTGCACATGCGCACGTGGCGGGTCTGCATTTATCGATTGCCCTTAGCGCTCCCCTCTCGTGCGCACGAGCGAGCGGTGCCCAATCGTGCGACGGTACGCACAGTTGCGTCGCCCAATTATTTGCCCAAACACCTTAAATGTCATGGCCTGTGCACGTTAAAGGCCAGCTCGAGCGCAAAGGTGACGAGAACAGGAAGACCTTAAAAAAGAAGAGCTTCGTTGCACGACATGCAAATTACGACCAATGTTTCATTGAATTGCTTTATTGCAACTAAGGTTAAAAGATGTAAAAAAAAAAGTAACAACCTTCAAATATTTGATTGATTTGGCAAAGAAGTAAATTTACATGCGAGGAACGGTACAGCCATAACGCTAAATGCACTTGCGATGATTAACAGGGCTTCTGTGATTCCTCTGAGCGACCACACAACACACGGCGGCTATTAATTGTAGCTTTTTTGACACGTGGGTCCATTAGGTTATTAAGGAAATCTGCACATAAAGCTTGATCAATTTGTATGATCACATCCAGGTGAGCTTTCTCGAAAGTGCAGGTGATTCCGATGGAAAGAGGCCAAGACCCATTGGCACCGTGATCAATAAACTTGTCAATGTCACCTATCCTGAAGACTCGCCATCTAGGCCCCACCCGTGTGCCTAGGGGAAAGTCCCCGGACTTCGGTTTATATAACACGAGAACCACTTTGGTGGAAGTCAACAATGGTTGTCCTATGTCGCGAATGGTCCCCACTAAGGAAGTGTAGAATTTCCAATGTTGGTTCCACCGTCAACGCAGACAGTGGTGATGAGAGATAAAAGGTATGACTGTGATCAATTGATCTGACAGACACTTGACTTTTTTAACTTGACCATGGCAAAGCAGCGCAGGTGTAGAGTGTTAATTATAAAATACGAGATTTAATTTGGGATATTGCTTTCATCCGCTACCATTGGGAATGCACAACTTCGTGCAATCAATTTAAGCGTACAGTTTTGTTATACTTTTATTCTGGAGTGCATTTGGAGAGTTTTTTATTATTATTAAATAGGATCACTGGAATAGCGTAAGCCAATTTTTCCAAACTGCAATTGGGATTATGAATTCATCTCGCAATAAATCCAATTTAACAAGAAAGTGAAGCTTCAAATGACGGTATCAAACATTTAAATATTTTTCTTAGGTTTTTTCGGTAAAGTCACGTAGGTAAAAAATAAAATGTTACTTTTATTAATTTAAATTTAAAATTTTTACCTACGTGACTTTACCGAAAAACACCTAAGAATATGAATCCTTGCAGTCACGAAAGCTTCAAATCTATAATTTGAATATTTAGCTACATTCGGACTATGAACTCCATGTCCAGGGGAAGTTATATGTGTATGCGAAGGATTCCATAAATTACCAAGCAATGCCAAATGTAATACACAAATATCAGTTTTGCACAAGGCCACTCAAACTCTGCTTCCTTCATTTTTTCGAGGACTCTCTTCCCAGCCCTCCGTGTGTTTCTACTTCAGGCCGCTGTTACAGTCGAGGCTTGAAATTTTCCTCTTTACTTCTTCCGATGGTCCACTATCCCTGCTCTGAAGAAAAAACACCACCCCTATAGTATATATATAGTACTCACACATATTTCCCATAATGCAATCCCCTTGCTGTTTTATACAACTTTAATTGCATTTGCATTTAGACCCTCACCTAAATCCAAATCGCATTGTATTGTATTTTATAATTTTACCACAGTTTATAGAACATTCGCAGTTAACGACTTACAATGCAATGGATTAAAAGCCCTCGAAGCCTTCACGAGTCAGTGCCTGAAGAGTCGTTACACATGCCCAAGGTTCAGTGATGCGTGTGGGGTACATGACGGTGTTCTTCATTGGTGGCCCCTAGTGGCATGACGTGCGGCCCTCGACAATGCACACGTGTGAAAACAGCTCTTGCAAGCGGTGTGGCGGCCCTCACGCTCGGGTCTCATCGGCCAAAGTTGCCTCCCTCTGAAAATGAGTGAAGCAAGCTGGTCTGCATTCCCCCTGCGTACCCCCCCCCCCCCCCGGTGTGTAACCATGTCATGAAGGGGCATGCAAGGACCACTTTCTATGCTTCCCCTTTGCCTTAATCACTCCACAACCACTGTTGATTTTGCATCAGGTGGTATATCTGTTATTGGCTCTGGGGTATGTATGTTGAACTTTTTTCGTACCGTACGTGGCAAACTGTGCTAATCGGAGGTGCGGGGGAAGGACAACAAACTAAACACAAAAAGCAGTTCTAAAGAAATTAGGTTTAAATAAAAAAAGTGTTTTCCATCTGGTGGCTGTTGATAGGCTCAGCTTCTGACCGCAATACTGTATATTTCACGTACGATTATAAAACATCACAATGGGGCGACTTGAATGCAAACGTAAGTAAAAGGGTGCAGAGGCGAGAAGATTGATAAATGTGGCGTGAGAGTTGTCAGCATCTGCTCCAGTTCACAGAGAGCAAATTCGTAAAGAGAACTATGAACATAATTGTTTTGTTTCCAAAGAACAACTCGCTGTCGAAAATTGCATGCATTATGTTAACAGGAAAATGGGCTGAAGTTAATTAAAAATATAATCACGTTGACCAATGAGATTCTTGCTAAGGTCTGTGTGAGACTGACTGATCATCTAGTTATGGATCAATGCACCCGCAGCTGTGTCAACAAGTTAATCTCTTGAAATCCTGTGTCGTTATCTTTGCCAAGTAGGCCATGCTTGCACCGCCACACTCCATCTAGGTCACGTCACAATTGCAAAATGGGACGCTGGACTTAACAACAACAAAAAACACCACCGCTTTATCAATCCTTTCGGGCCATCTATTCTAAAGCAATTTGACATTTATAACTTTTAAAAGCATGCACACGCGGAAAATTAAACTCACTGAAATCAATACCCGCACACAATGTACCCCAATCAATACAGTCTGGAACTAATATACTGTACTCTATGTGGCGCAAATTCGTTTGAGTCCAAGCTATGCAGCAAGGATGCAGTGAAGCACAGCAGCCTTTGATTTATATCACAGCTCCAGTCCCTATTGGGCTTTCTTGTTGCTGCAGATAGATTAGTCCCACAAGGCGGAGAGGCAGGGATGAGCTTCAACCAATGAGGTAGACCACGAGACCAGCTTAATTGACAGCGCACGGTCAGCACATGGCCGTGGACGTAGTGAGGCACATTTCAAGTAACAGCTATCGAGCCAAGGCAGATGTCGTGCGCATGTGATGGGCAAACTACTCACGACGCTCGAACGATTCTCAAAGTGTTCTGCAAGCTTGAGGTCGGCAAACATCTTAAGCATGGGGAATATCAATACCAGATCATCATTTACATCGTGAGCCATGATCGATTTGCTGCTGGGTGAAGACTTCCACAAGCCGTTGCTATCTCCCATGGACCTTCATGATAATGACCTGTATGCATTGACGATGCGAATCTCGCCAGAACACGGTAGAACACGTCTACCTTACCAGAGTGCAACAGTAGGTGGGATCTCGTCTCAATATTTAATGTGGCTCAGAGCGAGGTCATGGATAAAGGACTATGATTAGCATTATTTCTTACGAATATTTTATACACAATTTGCATTTGGATGGGTGGCACTGCAACCTTGTTCTCAACTTATATTTAGAGGGCAGTGAGTTTACATCTTCGTTCGGGGGTTTTGCTTTGCCAATCATGCCCTCCAGGGTCAATACAATGAGTACCACTTTGCACAACACTGACAGTCGCTGGACAATGCAATTAATTGTACTTCCCCAACCCCATGGCAATGGGGTTGTTTCCACCACAGACTCAAGGTAACCAATGGCGATGAGCGCTGTCTAAATCTAATTTGAGCAGATTTTCTTTTTTACATGTCATATGCTGCTCACCGACACGTGTACACTCTCGTGAAGTCAAATTGTATTAACGTTAATATGTGTTGCGATCGAAACGTCTGAGTTTTTTGTTATTTTATTTTTAACCTATCTACGTGACTTTACCGAAAGACCCAAAGAATTAGAATTCCTGCAGTCACGAAAGATTTAAGTCGAGATTTGTATCAAAGTTCAAAGGAGCTACATGGTGTCACTCATCTCTACATTGTTGGAGTTCAGCCAGTTGTGGACATTCCAAATTGCCATACCGGGAGCCAGTCTCTGCAAAAGAAAGCTCATGACGGCCGCTTCAGAAAATTAGCACTGAAAGTGTGACTGAACTCGTGTTCATGAGGGCTGATAAGCTGAGTTTGACACCTGACCGGGCTTTTTTATTCGAGTATATTCTGATTGCGAATAAAATAAAATAAAAATGCTCTAACCGCAGAGTAGGCAGGCGGGATGGAGCTTGAAAAACACCCTGAAGAAAGTGACAGGCTCACACATGCTGCAAATTAGCGGGGATCTTGGTGAGAGGAAGAACTCAATTTGTAGATGACACCACCTACATTAAAACCAATCATGCCAGCAGATGACCTGCGACTCCTTAAACTCAAGTGAAAATTTGCTTTACAATTGGGTCACACATGGTACGGCCGTTGCAATGCAACCAAAAACCATATCCAAGAAATGCCGTCCGTTTTCCACCCTCGCGGAGCCATTAACACAAGTAAATTTGAATATCCTGCCACAATGTAAAGAATGGAGATTTATTGAATCGTGGACTCACGCATTAGTGCAGAGATTTTGTCAAAGACCCGAAGAGAAGGCACGGCGTAAATCGAAATGGTGCCTTTCTTCAATTCGGCCAGCCACACAGGCTGTACACTCTACCTGAGTAAGTGAACTCCAAGAAGCGACACTTTCCTCTTGGTTGCGTCGGCCTGAGTTAAAGCGTGGAGCAAGAAATATGAGTCGACGTGAATGGGCGGTACGTGACAGGCGCATTATCACTGTAGGTCGTGATTGGTGAGGAGGTGGGACTGTAATGAAATTTCACCGCACACCAAAATGTATCGCGGTGTTCTGCAAGAGTGAGCAAATGCACTAACAGAGTTAAATGGATTTTGGTACTTTGGTCGGTGCTTGCTTCTGCTCAAAGTGCATTTTGTCCAAAAGTAGCAGGCATTCATTGCCGTCGGTTTAATCAAAGGAACACGCATGTGTGCCTAATGCCGTGAATTGGCACAGACCCGCCAAACTCACGAGGCTTTCAACGCAACCTTAAAGCAGCACACCAACGTAAACAACCCCAAGTGTAAACGTGTAACAATGTAACACGGTGATGTGTCCACAATGCGGCAGAAACTAATTCCAAAATACTGCATGGAATATGTTTGAGGGTGCGTCAACACACTCACCCACCCATACAGCCTCTTGGTTCAAAGGATGAACTATTACGGCAAATTTGGTGTATGAGACGCTGATCTGGCCATCACCATGCTCAGTACTCATTGCCGCCTGAGTGCTGCTGTTCACGCACCGCACATCAACACCTGTTTTGATGATGAGTCAACCTAGGGGAGGCCCTAGATTCACTCGGGTAGCTTCGTGATAGAGCAGGCAACTCCCCATCAGAATAATTTAGTGATTTCAATTCTTTCTTTAGATTAACGCGGGCCATCATCCCCACATGGTCTATGGAATGAGTATGTCTCTGTGGGGAAATTTAACACTGGTTGTGCGTCCTATGGATACACTTGCCTCTGCTATATGAGTGTGAAATTTTCACCACTGGCTCAGGACTGTAAACAGAAAATGAGCACAACTTCAATGCTCATTAGAGCAGAAAAGCACATTTACCTTTTCGTGGAGGCGCAGGACAAGTTCCTTGATACCTTTCACAACCGATATTAATCAATTATGGGAATCTAACTTCAGTACTGCATCAAGGTTCAAGCCCAGTGTGTTTACCACTACGCCACCACTTCCTGCATATGCACAAACACACACACTACAATATATATATTTTACAATTAAACTATGTTGCTGTTAAATTTCGATTTAAAGCTTTCGTGACTGCAGGGATTCATCTTCTTGGTTCTTTCGGTAAAGTCACATAGAAGGGAAGTAATAAAATAATAAAAATAAAACATAATAAAAAAAAATAATTCTCACGACGTTTCGGCTACAACGCAAGCAGCCGTCTTCAGGTGAAGAATGAGACACTACCAAACTAGGAGCTTATATATAAAACCGGATTCCCACCACCATCCATCCCAGAAGAATTCCCTCATCAAGACTCTATATCATAGAGCCCAATGCATCTCCGACCATGAACACATTGCCAGTGAACTCAAACACGTACGCCAAGCTCTTAAGGCTAATGGTTACTCCGACTACACAATCCGCAAAGCCATCACTCCAACCATCAAGAAGGATCCTGTTGAGGAGCCTTTCAAGACCATCACCTTACCCTACATTGCTGGGGTCACAAAAAAGATCTCCAAAATCCTGATTAAACACAAGATCCAGGTCCGATTCAACACAGTACATAAAATCCGTGATCTGGTCCCGTCTGTAAAAGATGTGGTTCCAGACATACAGTACCCTGGCGTCTACAAACTAAGTTGCCTCTGTGGTAGCAGTTACATTGGAGAAACCAAACGACATGTCTCGGACCGCATCCGTGAACATGAGGCAGACCTGAAACACGGTAGGACAAACTCCTCAGCCGTGGCAGATCACTGTTACAATTCAGTGGGCTCACATGACATTGACTTCTCCAAGACAGAGGTTCTCTGCAAGCCATCTGGCTATCATGAGAGATTCGTTCATGAGGCGATCCACATATACAAACACAGAGACAATTTTAACCGAGAAGATGGATTCTGGCTTAGCAATCATTGGAAGGACGTAATAAACCATTTCGATACACATTAGGGTGTGTAGAATAATACATAGTATTATATTAAAATGTATAAGGTATATGTTGGTTTACAGCAATACAGTATATAATTTAATGTTGGGTTTATCTATGGCAGTATATATAGTACGGTATATGCTCGTGTGATGTAAGAGAATAAAGTTTAGATGGAAGCATATTATAGAATTTTTACGACGTAGAATTGTAATGTATTACTTGCTGTTAGTAACTCAGCTTATTGTAGAGTATAGTAAGTATACTGATGGTGCTATGCAGTTTATACTTTAGTTTTTTATGTAGTTTATACTTTAGTTTTCTACGTGGTTGTTGAGTAACTGCAGCTACATATCATTAACATTCCTTTCCTTTGTTACTGCTAATCCCTGCACCCCCCCTTGCTGCTGATCCTGCATAATGCATGGGCATAATATGACTTTGAAACCCCCCCGCCCAACGCCTACGCATTTTCCATGAATATGCTAAATTCCTCTTCATATGCACATTCTTTTTGTTAAAGCGCTCTTCCACCCCCAACGCAGCTTATATATAAGCTCCTAGTTTGGTAGTGTCTCATTCTTCACCTGAAGACGGCTGCTTGCGTTGTAGCCGAAACGTCGTGAGAATTATTTTATTTTATTATGTTTTATTTTTATTATTTTATTACTTCCCTTCTACGTGACTTTACCGAAAGAACCAAGAAGAGGTATGTTGCTGTTTTAATGCCATTTTCCTGTAGACTATAGCCCATCCGCGCCTCCGATCAGCACGGTCAGATACGTCCGGTGCAAAAGAAGTTCAGCATACGTACAGTAGAGCCCCTCTTCACGACGGCGATTGGTTCCACGAAACCAGTCGCTAAGTGGTTTGGCCGTTAAGCGAGTATGAGAAATACGCTTAACGGTTAAAGGCTTAATTCGTTCCGATAGCATCGAAAGTTACCCTTTTTCACCCAAATAAACCTACTTATAATATTTAAGCAATGGATATTAATACATAAAGATACGAACAACATTATAAATAATAATATTAAAATGCATTAAGTAATAGTAACTGTACCTACAACAGTCCATCGCTAACAGGGGAATGGTCGGTAAATAAACATATGTGTCTCTGTGGAGGCCCGTCATTAAGCGATTAGCCGTTAACAGGGGTAGTCGTTAAGAGGAGTTCTATTTTATTTCTAACTACGTGACTTTACCGAAAGAACCAAAGAGTATAGGAGTTCTACTCTACACTACTATGCACTACGCTACTCTACACTACACGTTACACTACACTACTATACACTACACATTGGGCTCTATGGAGGCCGTCATTAAGCAATTAGTCGTTTACAGGGCTAGTAGTTAAGAGGAGTTCTACTCTACATTACTATACACTACGCTACTCTACACTACTCTACACTATACACTACACATTGGGCTCTATGGAGGCCCGTCGTTAAGTGCTGGTCGTTAAGAGGGGTTCTAGTGTACCTAGTCAGCACAGCAACCTGTCCACAGGCCACTGCGGTTGTGTGCTGCCGTGGGTCCGTGCTGCTGTGCGCAGGGTGTGCTGGACACTCACCAGTGGCTGCCCCTCCACCTTGCGAATTCCGACCATGCGGATGGCGTCCGTCCCAGCAGCTCCGTCCAGGGCAACCGGGTCACTCCAGAGGTCGCTGCTATCGTTCCCCGTGCTGCTCGTGATGTTGTCGTAGCTCTGGGAGGCCACCACGTCATGCGCTTCCAGCAGAGACTGCAGCGTGTCAACACACACATTGGGCAGCGGAGGGGCAGTCGGGGGGTGGGGAATGAGGACAAGGTTCTTTTTTTGGATCACCTCGAGGGCAGCTCCTCACTGCCGTGCGCCCTGCCGCTGGTTAGGCCGTGGGTGTGCGCAACCCATTGAAATGTGTTGACTCGCTGAATAAAACTCGATAAAACACGGCACGCGTGAGTATTATGGGTTCCATTTATGGGGTGAAAGGAATGCAACTTTATTTCAATATTTTGGCACAAAAAAATGATTTCCTCTGTTTTCGGCTATTTTGTAGAATGGAAAAGTCTGATCCGTGAACATTGCATGGTTAAATTTTGTACATTTAAAGATGCACATGTTTTAAACATTTATATATTTGTACTTCTGATTATAAAGGGTTGTTTGTTGACATATTTCTGACCGCATAACATTGATCACACCGCCTCCAAAACTCCCCAATACTTTTTATTTTTCATTGTGATAACTCATACTCTGCCATGTTTGCTTTCACGAGAGCAAGAAATGCAACATAAATATGATAACCATCCTTTGTCTCTGCACCGAACAAGGGGCCATCGTCTGAGACATTAGCCTACCGCACAACAATAATAATTCCACGGCCTTTTTTTGTCAATCAACTCGTGGATGAAAGCCTTCCCATGCAGTGTCGGTCATGGGAATTGTTTGACCATACTTGACCACGCCGGTCAGTGCAGGTCCGTAAGGGGGAATGGGGCTGGGACTGCTCCAGATATTATTTTGTCACCGATGTTAGGCGTAGCTTGAAATCAAACTTATGGTCACCGGGGTTCATAGGGCAGCGCGCTAACCATTGTGCCACCGCTCTCACCCTGCTTTTACTATAGACGTTGCAGTGTGAAGTTAATCTGATAATGGGGTGTTGTTCATTTGTGAAACATTTTCTGGTTGTTGCAGTGAAGTTGCTATCTTACCGATTATTAATTTGCCAAGTCAGTTAAAGATAAATCTGATAAACATGGCATTATTAAAATATGGTGCAATGAGGCCCAAAGATTTTTTTCTTTTAACCAATTCCCAAAACATATTAGCAACACAGCCATGGAAATAGAACGGACAGCTGTTTTTAGAAACTTATTTCACTTATTCAACACACCCTCGGGATATAAAACGGAGGGTTTATTCTCTTGATCTCTCTGCGGCGTCTTACACTTCACATCTTTGACAGATGGCTGGGGAGCACATAACTTATTCATTCGCTTTCATACATGAGGGCACAGGTACACTCTGCACGGGAGCAGAGCACTGAATCAAAAGGGGCCCTCCTACACTCCGAAAGATAGATCATTGTGGGCAGGTGGGGTGCATTTGACCATGACAGTGGCATGCAATGGCTTGACCTTCACGAAGTGTTGGGCGGTACCTACAGAAACCCCTACACACCCCTAGTGAAGGCTTTTATTACTTTTATTTTTTAAATAGCACAGTGGCCCGAAAATACAGAGCAACTTATGAAGAAAGTCCTTGTGTAGTACTGAGAGGCATTACTGCGTGAACTTTCCATTCAACTATCCATTTGTATCATCCAAAGTTTTTTTTTCATCTATGACTGAAAATGTCACGCAAATTGGTTTTTCAGTATAGTTAATATATACACACTATTTTTGAATGTTTTTGTGGATTAAATTTTCATGCAGATATTTTGAAAACACCACTATTTACTGCCAAGGTCCTGGTAACGTCAACATTGAATATTCAACCGAAAAAAAATCTGTCGTCAATAAAATTGGCAGTGGTTTATAAACTCTTACAGCCTTGTTCCAAAATAGTTTAAATAAATATTCTGGTCTTGTGGTTTTATTTTTCAAGCCTTAAATTATTTTCATCGGTCCATCCAAAAACACAACAGTACGACGCACAAATACAAAAAATTCTGTTATTTTCTTGTCAATTGTAAACTCCTTACGTACCATACATCAATGCCAGCCAATTTTCTGCACTCAAAACAAACTAACAAGGAATGGATTTAGCAACTTAGGTCACGGACATTGACGTATATCTATTACTCGTGGGACACGTGTAAGGACATTTGGACCGCGAGAAACGTTAACTTGAAGACTCCTTCCCGTGGAGCAGCACCTGAAAGTGAGGCTCATTTAAGATGTTCGCTAACTCGGCCGCCCCTCCATCCTGATCTGCCATTGGAGAAATGTCCTCCAGGATCTCCTTGACCAGCTCCAGGTTGTTCTCACCCACGGCCTCGAGCTTGGGCTCCTCAAGCCGAGCCTGCGCCTGCCACCAAGAACATCGTCAGCATCACCGTCAGCACCATCATCATCGTCAGCATGATCATCATCCGCATCATCATCAGAATCATCATCAGAATCATCGTGAGTATCATCGTCAGCATCATCAGCAGCACCGCCACTACTGCCACCAGCACCACATACATTATCATCATCATCATTCACCACGACCACAGCCACGACCACATCATCACCACCATCATCATCCATCACTACCACGAACACCAGTACTACCACCACCATCAATACCAAAGACAAAGATCCCCCGTATAGCCTTAACATACTGTTCAGGCAAGTGCTGTTAGCGAGCACCTATAAAGGCCGGCCACCTTTGTATCCCCAGTGGCGATGTTTACACACCACACCAGGTACTCATGTCAGGCTGAGTCGACCTAAGAGAGGCCCAGGACCAGTTCAGATAATCGTCAATGGTGTTGGCCATGAGCGGAACTCGAACTCTGGTCGCCGGATTCGTAGCACAGGGTGCTAACGACTACACGACCACTCCCCATATTATCAATACCACCACGATCAACACCGCCACTAACAACACAGTGTCATCATCCACCACCATCGGTATCAGCATTCATCACGAACACCACCACCATCATCACTCTCCAAATAACAAATATTTAATTACAGCAGTTGTAATCAATAGAAACATATTCCTTTGGTAATATATTATTAATTCCCCAACAAGCACTCATTTAATGAAAAAGCTTGCAACTTTACGAGTTTGGGGATAGATATGTGACTATAATTAACCACACTTGTATGTGCGTAATTGGAAAGATATTGCTTTAATAGTTTATCGGTGAATGTTTACATTGCAGAACTAAGAGAGATGGCCACAGCCGAATCCAACAGTGGAATGACCATGGCTGATAAGGATGATGGTGGTTTCTTAATCAAAACAAAACTCTATGCAGTACAGGGTACATACACGGTGTGTATTGTGGTCATCCAAATTGAGGTGACCTATTTGCATTACAAGGCAATTATACAAAAAAAAACCCACTAGCATTGATACCAACAAACAATGGATCACTCCTGTGAAAGAAACGTCAAGGGGCCTTCTACATCTGTAGATATAAATGAGCAGATGGTGCTCCTACGTTACATCGGCCTTGCTTGCACACTATCAGAGTGTTGATATCCGACAAACATTGAACCCAGATAAGAGTGATCTAAGCCACTCAGCTCTTCAGCTGCCACCAATTGAGCAAAACAGACCCTTGGCGACTTTTACAGACTTCAGCCAAGGCCATGGGGAGACGGCACAACTGCCAATCTTGGCAATGCCCTCTCGGGGTTCCCAAGAGGAGGTGAACTCGATAAATACGAGGGGACCGAGTTGAAGGGCAGGTGGTGGATGTGGGAAGGGGGCGTGGAGAGGTATATGGTCATTATCTCGTTGGCACTTTCACTGGCTGAATTGACACGCGCGTGATGGTATTCCGGTTTGCCAAATTAAAAAGGGCAAACGCGAGCCCACGGAAGCAAAGGGCAGGCAGATGGCGGGGGCATGCAGCCAGCCAGGTCCGCATTCTACTGTATGGCCATGGGTATTTCATTGATTTAATCATTTATAAATGATTAATTATTTACTTTACATGCATGAAGGCAGCCAGTTGAATTTATTATTATGCACAATCATGGATTTTTTTTAAATTATCTATTCAGTCATTCGTTTTAGATGTGCACAGACACATTCTATAAATGAACACAAACGTAATACGTGTACACACCAGCATGGGATTTCAGTGTTCTGGACTTACCATGCACATCTACACCGTTTAAGATATCAATGATAATAAAGTGGTACATAATCGCTCAGAATGTGCTCCTGATCGGACGAGCAACAGGGCGGCGCTCATTTCTGTCGGTTTCATGTTCCCATAGGGTGCTTATCACACTCAACAAAGGCTGCAAATGCAGGTTTTCTAAAGATTTAAAGATTTCAATGGAATGTTCATTTTTCTGTATGTATGTTGAATTTATTTCAAACCGTACGTAGCCAACCGTGCTAATCGGAGGTGGAAAATCCTTCACAATTTGGTTAAAGTGACTATTTAAAGCATTGCAAAAAAAAGCCAACTTTCTACATGGACTGGTTTCCAAGTCTTAAGCACGTTGCTTCTACTCTATTAAGCATCCCGTGTGCACTACAAAGGTGCTCACTTCTGAAGCATGCAAATGCTGTGTGCGAACGACGATTGAAGTGGGTCACGGTGACACCCGTGTTCAAACCAATGCTAATGTTGCAATGCAGATTGATCAATGTAAGAAATGTATACTTAAATAATGAAAGCATAGCTTCGGCCATTGGATGGGGTTGATGTTACGGCTGCAACATGCATAACGCAAAACAAGAATATTGTCTCAACTCTAAATCTAATCCAGCTATGATAATATAAGTAAATTAAACTACAGAGGTCTGTTATTTCGAAGCATGTAATATTTCAAGCTTGTCACATTGCTTTTCACACGAATGATCGCATTACTTGCATAAGGCACTGGCATTTTTCTCTTTTACATTTGGTTTATATGTAGCACATGTGTTAAAGATTACCTGAATATGAAACCGAGCCATCTCCGCTTCCAAACAGGTTGATGGGAAATGTATTAAAATAGCATTCTCATTAAACTGATTGAACAAATCAATGTGATAGGCATATTCAAAATGTGTTCTTCTATAATTAAAGGCATGCAAGATATTTCCATCATCTCAACCTTCATGGGGTATAAATGAGAATATTTAAATATTTGTAAGCACAACAGAGACTGCAGTAGCAATAATTAAAACCGCAGTGCCATAGGCATTGTTCTTAATCCTTCATTACAAATATGTTAATTGAATTGTGTGTTTGTATATTGTAAATAGACTAATGCATGCGGCTTATGTGACTTTCAACCAATATATTTTACGTAATTAAAGAAACACGTAACATTAGAGTGTATAGTTCCATTGATGGCATCAGTAAAAATTCATGCCCTGTATTGTGCCAAGCCTATTAAAAACAGTTCTTGTAGGGCTTAAGCTACACATTAAATCTCTGCTTAGTGGAAATGTTAAATGTTCTCATATGAGCTTTAAAAAATGTATATTCTGTTCCAGAACATTAATAATCAGATGTCTACCAAGTACATATTTAATTTACCTAAGTATGGTTGTGAGAAAACAGCCCGTGTGGGATGCCTGGGTGCATTTTAAATTGAACACGTGCTTATGACTCAGCTCCTGATTATTTATAAGCAATGTAGCTCGATCCCAGAGTGCATGCCTTGTAAAAAGACATCTTTTAAATGTGTGATCAGCCAAGTCAACTGAAACCACTATTCCCCAACCTCTGATGCTTGCCATTCTGGGGGAAATGCCAGAATCTCAATTTATGTCAAGGAGCATCAATGCAGATTGGTTTAATAGAAAGCTTCACAAGAAGTTCCCAAATAAAATGTGCAATCGACGATGCCAACAACCAAAATGGTATAAGACACTAATATATGGTTTTATATAGCATCATCTCATAGTGACAGCATGCTGCCCAGTCAATATATGATGTATAAATCAAATTATTTTGGCAATAAGTAGCAATAACACGCAACAATGTGTGTATATATCGAATACAAGTATTGGTGGTAAGCAGTTCAAATATATAACACTACATAGGTTTTTTTCCGAGGTTATGCTGTTTTTCGGGTTATACCGTTTACTGTGTGCTGTCCAAACCTCATGCTGTACAGACCCAAAGCTCGTCAAACAGTGAGAATGGAGGATGATTGGAATTATATATTTTTAAAATATGTTGCGTTGCATGTCAATAGGAGCCCAGTCTGGAAGACAAGCCACGACACGAGTGGAGGGGGTGTATGCACAAAATCCGCAGACCCCAGTCCCGAAAATTTTGCAAACAAACATTCAAAAAAATTAAACGACAAACATTTTTTTTATTTTACCAGGTAAGGCCCACTGAGCTATACAGCTCTTTTTCAGAAGCGACCTGGCCACAAAGGATAGCTCAACGAAGTGGCTTATCATGTGGACATTTATAGCAGCCAAATACTCTCAACGCACGTTTCTAAATGTGGAAGAAACAACAGGAGGACTCGGAGAAAAATCCATGCGACCGCGGAGAGAACAAGCAAACTCCAAATGTACAGCAGGCGTCAGTGTCGGGATCGAACCCACGACCTCCTGTATACCAGGCGAGGTAGTTAACAACTCATAGCCACCATGATGATGAGAGAGAGAGAGACACGCAAACTCCAAATATACAGCAAGCGTCAGGGTCGGGATCGAACTCACGACCTCCTGTATACCAGGCGAGGGAGTTAACATCTCCTAGCTACCGTGATGATGAGAGAGAGACATGCAAACTCCAAATGTACAGGAGGCGTCAGGGTCGGGATCGAACCCACGACCTCCTGTATACCAGGCGAGGGAGTTAATATCTCCTAGCCACCATGATGATGAGAGAGAGAGAGACACGCAATCTCCATATATACAGCAGGCGTCAGGGTCGGGATCGAACACCATGACCTCCTGTATACCAGGCGAGGGAGTTAACATCTCCTAGCTACCGTGATGATGAGAGAGAGACATGCAAACTCCAAATGTACAGCAGGCGTCAGGGTCGGGATCGAACCCACGACTTCCTGTATACCAGGCGAGGTAGTTAACATATCCTAGCCACCATGATGATAAGAGAGAGAGAGACACGCAAACTCCAAATATACAGCAGGCGTCAGGGTCGGGATCGAACCCACGACCTCCTGTATACCAGGCGAGGTAGTTAACATCTCCTAGCCACCGTGGGGACCTGGGCTTAAAGCAGGTGGGGATCGCGAGCGGGGTGTATGTGTTTTTATACGGGGAGGGAAGGTGAGAGAAAATTACTTCATCGAAGCCAAGGGAGTGGCGGGGAGGAGAGTTAATTAATATCAACAAGTTAATTAATATTAACAAGTTAATTAATATTAACAAGTTCAGGTGACAGTTTGTTCCAAACGAATATCGAAGGAGAGGGGAGGGGGTGGGAATGATCTCTTAATGTGCAAAGATTTATATGAATTTAAACGAGGAGATAGTGCTTGATGAAAGCGAGAGAATTGGAGGAGAGATAGGATTAGAAATGCAGGGCAAATCCAGATGATGATGATGGGTTTTGGAGAATGATATATTTTGTAAATTGGAAATAGTTCCTGAATTCATAAAAAAGAAAACTCAGTCTAGGCTTTGCAAAGGATTTTCTCCCATTATCTCACTGACTTCCTAGGGATCGATGTAGCTGATAACTGCTGTTAATTAAGCGTATTGAATTATTCAGCAATTTGCTATGTGTTTCTGCAAGTAGATTCTATGCTCTGGAGTATACAGATCAACCTTTGTTGTTGAAATTCTCTTAAATCAAAATTGACCCGGGGTGTGCATTGTTTAAATGCTACTGGGATACACTGATTGGTAAGCCCAATTTGTCGATGTCTTAAATGTTTGTTCTTTAAGGCAATTAAACATACTGTACCTGCTAGTTTTGTTAACACAATGCCAATATGTTATTTAATATTTACAATGCGTTAGTTTTTTTCTACGCATTTTCACTTCACATTTAACCCAATCATCCAATGTAAACATACCTTAAAAGTGTATGCACTTAATCCTTTAACAAGATCAAACAAAGAAACTCATCTTGTGCTTTTAAAGTCACTCACTTGTCCGTGTGTGTATGTAAGCTTTGCCCTTTTAAAATTCACATCTCCACCTCGCAAAAAGCTATGATTTTCAACTTTTATTTTCCCATTAATATGAATAATTTATTTGGCGAAATGCCCCTTCCCAGGTCTGCAGAGTCAGGTAAGAATAACAAACAGATCAAGCAAGCAATGCAAGGCTAAGAAATTACGATGGGCAGCGAGGCACGAGGGCTATGGGCTGTGAGGGTCTGATAAGCGGAAATATGGCAATGAGTGCCAATATTTGAAATCCTCGTAGAGCTCGAGTAAACTCATATGAACCGTTCATTTCAAATCTATGTAGGGACAAGATAGCACTATACGTTCCTGGTAGAAGGTTTAATATTATTATATGAATTCGCCATACATCGTAGAACATAGGTTGTGTCTTTACAACATTTATTTCATGTTACAGATTACCAACTCAAAGAAAGGTATAATTATGAAAGGAGATGCGATATTTTTTTTCATATCAATGACTTCACAAGCAGAAATTGCTTGAAGCATTTTTTGCAGAGCACATCTCAACTTTTAAATATTGCAGAACGAATATTGGACGTGAAGTTGATAAACTTGTCTATTACACTTTGTTTTAATAACTAAAATAAATTGCAATATTTCCCCATTATGTATCACGAGACATTAAAATTCCATTAAACGAGCTTACAACTTTAATGAAATGATACAATCATTATACACTCTTTGCCTAAGTAGCAATTTCTTATGAATAATTACACTTGTAACAAATGCTTAACTCAAGTGCATACAATTAACAGTGCTTCAACAGCACTGAAACGAATGGCGGACAAGGGTGTGAATGAGTTAGATCGCGTAAATATATAAATGTGTCGTTAAACCCGCCATAGCCAACTAGTAAGGGTTGTCACGTAAACAGAACATGCCAATTCGTCACTAGTACAGCACACCAGTGTGTTGGAGAGCCAAGCCACGACATTTACAAACTGAGTACGACGTTTCACCAGTAATTACAACCAGCTTCATCAGACGACAGCCAGATGTATATATTTATGCGATCTAACCCAAAAGCCGACGTTTTAAACTGTGAGCGAGTGTCTCAATGTATTTGCCCTCATGCATTGTGGTCCATGACTCAATCAACTGCTGGGTAAGGGACCCTTTCTGGTAACACCATCAGCCACTGCCCTCAACAGTGCGCCTTTTGGCCTCATCTGGTCCAACACCATGTAAGACGAGGCTCTAAGAAAAGCTGTCTCGGGTGTGGACCAATCAATTTCAAAGACAGTGCATACATTATCAGAGTTGTGTTTTTTGTTTGCATTCCGACCGCAGGTATTGTGGTCAATGCAAACATGACTCCTTGCAAAAAAAGGTGTCAGTTTTGTTGCCAGATAAAAGGGTAAAAAAAACAAATTATCATATTTTGCTACTGGCAAAGGAGGTTCCAATGGAGCTGCAGGCAACTTTACACTCATCTGTAACGGGATTCACCGAGTAAGACGTGCACATGGACTGCTTAGACTTAGCCAGACTGTGAAGCTGCCTCGCTCCTGAGATCGTCGTGCCACAGCTTGCTCGCAGCTCATTGGAATTCTCAGTGTCCCGGTCCTATTGGGCAGCACACACCTTTGCATGGCATACTCTGGCTGGGAAGTGTAAGGCAGGCCAGAGGGAAAGAAGCAATGGCATTGAGAATCGCTGTTCGTCGGGCCAGATTAACACGAGGGGCGGGGGGTGGGGTTAGTGGCTGCAGTCCAAGACCTTGGCTTTTAGCCCCCCCCCACCCAAATCCATAAGAGAACAGCTTTATAACGTTCGATTTAAAGCTTTCGTGACTGCAGGGATTAATCTTCTTGGTTCTTTCAGTAAAGTCACGTAGAAGGGAAATAATAAAATAATAAAAATTAAACATAATATAATACAATTCTCACGAAGTTTCGGCCACAACGCAAGCAGCCGTCCTCAGGTGAAGAACAGGTCTGTCGGGAAGACACGCTGCTTGCGTTGTGGCCGAAACGTCGTGAGAATTGTATTTTATTATGTTTTATTTTTATTATTTTATTATTTCCCTTCTACGTGACTTTACCGAAAGAACCAAGAAGAGGAGCTTTATAACTGTTCCAATGCAACTCTGTCCCCGCTGTGATAAACTCTATTGCTAATTTGTCGATGAATGCCATAGCAGAACTCACCGTGCGTATAACCACGAGTCGTGTGCCGAAATTCAGACAGTTCTGTTTGTTTTATTTTTGACTCGGCTTTACAAATTCGTACCTAACGTGTAAAAGCCACAACTAACATCACCGTGGTCAACAGCAAATGAGAGTGTTTGACGCGGCTAGCGAGCGTGTGTGTTTGTGTGTGCTCATGTGTGTGCGGGTGTTTGTGTGTGTTGTGTCCGTGTGGTTGTGTGTGTACGTGTGTGTTTGTGTGTGTTTGTGCGTGTGTGTTTGTGTGCTCATGTGTGTGCGTGTGTTTGTGTCCGTGTGGTTGCGTGTGTACGTGTGTGCTTGTGTGTGCTCGTGTGTGTTTGTGTGCTCATGTTTGTGTGTTTGTGTCTGTGTGGTTGCGTGTGTACGTGTGTGCTTGTGTGTGCTCGTGTGTGTTTGTGTGCTCATGTTTGTGTGTTTGTGTCTGTGTGGTTGCGTGTGTACGTGTGTGTTTGTCTGCTCGTGTGTGTTTGTGTGCTCATGTTTGTGTGTTTGTGTCCGTGTGGTTGCGTGTGTGCGTGTGTGTTGGTGTGTGCTTGTGCGTGTGTGTTTGTGTGCTCATGTGTGTGTGTGTGTTTGTGTGCTCATGTGTGTGTGTGTGTTTGTGTCCGTGTGGTTGCGTGCGTGTGTGCGTGTGTGTTGGTGTGTGTTTGTGCGTGTGTGTTCATGTGTATGTGTTTGTGTCCGTGTGGTTGCGTGCGTGTGTGCGTGTGTGTTGGTGTGTGCTTGTGCGTGCGTGTGTGCGTGTGTGTTGGTGTGTGCTTGTGCGTGCGTGTGTGCGTGTGTGTTGGTGTGTGCTTGTGCGTGCGTGTGTGCGTGTGTGTTGGTGTGTGCTTGTGCGTGCGTGTGTGCGTGTGTGTTGGTGTGTGCTTGTGCGTGCGTGTGTGTGCGTGTGTGTTGGTGTGTGCTTGTGCGTGCGTGTGTGCGTGTGTGTTGGTGTGTGCTTGTGCGTGCGTGTGTGTGCGTGTGTGTTGGTGTGTGCTTGTGCGTGCGTGTGTGTGCGTGTGTGTTGGTGTGTGCTTGTGCGTGCGTGTGTGCGTGTGTGTTGGTGTGTGCTTGTGCGTGCGTGTGTGTGCGTGTGTGTTGGTGTGTGCTTGTGCGTACGTGTGTGTGCGTGTGTGTTGGTGTGTGCTTGTGCGTGCGTGTGTGTGCGTGTGTGTTGGTGTGTGCTTGTGCGTACGTGTGTTCGTCGCGAGCAAGCGCTGCTCACCTTGGCGAGGGACTGAACAATGGGGCTCGCCATGAGTCCTCGCAGGAAGATGAGGTCTGTGTCCTTGGCCCCTGTGCACACGGGTAGCTCGGGGAGGCTCTCCAGTACCTGCTCCATGGCTGTGAGCGAGGCCAAGGGTGAGAACAGTAAAGGGCACAATGATTATTAACAATATTATCAGATTACATTTGGTCTTCACACCTGTTGTATGTACGCATGTTGAACGTGTTTCGCACCGTACGTAGCCAACCATGCTAATCGGAGATGCGGGGGAAGGACAGCGAACTAAACATGAAAAGCGGTTCTAAAGAAATACTTTTCAATCTAGATTTCAAAGTAGACAGCTCCAGTGGCTTCCTAATATCGGAAGGAAGAGCGTTCCAGACGGCCACAGAAGCGCATCGGCTAGCCAGAAGCTGAGGATGACCGAAGTGGAATTTAATAAACTTCCCCTATTGTAACTATCACGCTGGGAGATCAAACCGGCGACCTCTGCATTGCAAAATACAATGTGTTAGCCGTTACAACCATCGCAGCATCGCATGAGTTTAGTATAGACAGTATAAATGCCATCACGAACGAATGCATTTATGTATGCATCAATATATATTTATGCATTCGTGTGATTGTTGACTTAATCACTCTACCATTACTACCATTAATGGCACTGATTATAAAAAAAACCTGCAGTCGCAGGCACAATTTAGAATGAGAGCTTTTTGCAATCGTCGCAGAAAGTTTAAGGGGCATTTGCCTAAGGCAATGGCACTCAATAATCCCCTTCGGCAACCAGTCTCCGTGGAGCATTTGTGTTCACAAATATGGGACAGGTATATCTGTGTGGGTTTATGTGATAACGTCCTCACACTGCCTACTGTGACGGGATGAGATCCATACAAGTCAGCGTGCGAGCTGTGGAAACAAGATCTTCAAACTGCTGGGCTGAGTCAAGGCCAGGAGCGAGTGTATTCCGTTTTTTTGGGTTATATAAGTCGGAAAAGTTCGTTGCAAAACATAATTAAATTGACAGTGAACTGAAATAGATTGCTCCAGCAAACAACCAAAAGCAATTCAGATTTGCAATTAATATTAAAAGGGATTTTAAAGGTAATTCTATTTCTTTACTTGGCTTCACTCTCATGTCCTGCATTTGTTTAGTTAGTCTCAAAATACGATCTGTTACTGTCAAATCAACTATTTATATTGTACATGTATACGTTTTTTTCCGTTCAATAATAGGGTAAAGCTTGGCAGCTCATTGATTTGGTCTAAATAGATTATTGGATTTATTTTCAAGTATTGTTGTTTTGTTCCATTAATCAAGCATGCAAGACACTTATTAAAATAATTAGTTCCGTTAAAGTAAACTTTACAGATGCTTAATAAGATAAATGATTTTGTAGCAGCCACCCAATTATGTATTTCTATATATATATAAAATGTCAATTAGTTAGTAATAATGATGTATGATGTATTATACAAAATTAATGTATTAAAAAATAGACCATCAATGGTATTACATAGGCAAATGCAAAAAATAGAACACAACATCAAAAACAAATACCACAACATGAAACATACTGACACTCAAATACTTGTTCAAATAACGCAGTAAACAACCGAATTTCTCAACATATGTTTAACCAATCTATCGCAAAATTAGCTCCAAATAAATAAAATATATACATATTACCAAAGCGCCCAACTTATTTCACACAAATTCACGTTACTTTCGGTAATATTGAAATACATTTCTCTTCGGGAAATAAATTAATGCAAGCAAATCAACCTACACTTTCATTGCTTGAGAATGACCAATCGCAATAATGGCAGCTGAGAGTGTGCGCTAAAGAAGATAGGGTTAGATTTCACGGCTTTGTCAAAGGTTGTCTTATCGTGTATGTTCTCTCGTTGGGCATCTTTCTCCTCCTCTCTTCTCATCCCACACGCACACAACCTCCACACACGCCTCTCCCTCTCCCCCATCCACCCCCTCCTCTGCCATCCCCACCTTTCTCACATCCAACCTGTCAAAGTTGTTCGGGCGTTCATCTTCTTGGTTCTTTCGGTAAAGTCACGTAGAAACGTAATAAAATAAAATATAATAAAATAAAATTTTATTTTATTATGTTTTATTTTTATATAATAAAATAAAGTTAAGTTTCATTTTTATATAATAAAAGAAGAGAACATTTTATTGTATTATGTTTTATTTTTATATAATAAAATAAAGTTTAATTTTTATATAATAAAATAAAAGGAAATTTAATTCAATTATGTTTTATTTTTATAATTTTTTTATTTCCCTTCTACGTGACTTTACCGAAAGAACCAAGAAGATGAATCCCTGCAGTCACGAAAGCTTTAAATCGAAATTGTGTTCAGGCTTCCTTCCTCTTCGCGCGATTATGCCCTTTTAGCTGCAATATAAGACGCGCCCGTAACTTGTGGCCAGTGTCAATGCAGTCATACAAATCTGCTCTCTCACACTCGCACACAAAGATACCCCCGGACATCCTTAGCGGACTGTTGGGGCCAAGTGCTGTTAGCGAGTAGCAGCACCCGTGAAGGCCGGCACGGCACACGAGGGGGTGGGTGGCCAGCACCACGCCCGGCCGCCTTTGTCCCCCCTAGTGGCGATGCTTACACACACCGCACCAAGTACTCATTTGAGGCTGAGTCGACCTAGGGGAGGCCCAAATTATCTGAACTGGTGCTGGGCCTCCCCTAGGTCGACTCAGCCTCAAATGAGTACCTGGTGCGGTGGCCGTGAGTGCGTTCGTAGCGCAGCGCACGAACCACTGAGCCACCACTCACTCACACGCCGACCAGAGTATGAGACGCACAGCTAACATTACTGCATCAAGCTGTGACGGTCCCACCTGATGACGGAGACTTGTGTTGCCACCGAAACATCGTGATTTATTATTTGATTTAATTTCCATTATTACTTTTATTAACTTTTAATTTTATGTTTTACCTACGTGACTTTACCGAAAAAAACAAAGAGTATGAATTCTTGCAGTCACGAAAGCTTCAAATCCACAACAGAGAATACAGACTTACACATACCATACACCAATTTTCTCTCTTGAGACCATGGACACAGATCGTCTTAATCACACACACACAAAACAAATCCCTTGCTTCGTCTTGTATACGTGAGGAGCAAGTGCTATTGTTGAGCACCCATTAAAGCCAGCACGGCACGCGGGGGAGTTCGTGTGGTCAGGACCACGGCCGGCTACCCTTCATTACTCTGGCGCCGATGTTAACACACCACGTCAGACCCCCTGGGTGAACTCGGGTTGAGACGGGGAGATAGCATCCACAACGCACATCCACAGCATGCACATCATGTCAGCCACGAGCAATCCACGGCTGGATGAAAGCCTCCCCATGCCTCGTGGCTCCAGATGCAACAATCCAACCCGGCAGTTGTCCACTGGCCGATTCTCATTGCTCCATCTCCATGGTGAACGTCCTATTGGGCGCATTCCCTCCTTTGGCCGCCACTCTGGAGTCATTCTCGCACACGGGCGGTCGTACCTGCTAGCAACGTGCGCTCTGCCAAATACCAATTTTTACTTTTCTTAGCAGTCAATATTGTGTGTGTTTAACCTGCGTATTTTCTCAACTTCACGCTGTTTCCCTGCCTCTCTCTCTCTCTCGGTGTCATCTCAAGAATGCATCTCACTGCTTCTGCAGTGCGCACGCTTCGTGCTATGTTTCGGCTCAGCGGTGTCCGTTTTTCAGATCCATTTGTCATAGCAAATTACGTACGTGCACTCACACGTTTAAGTGGGGGTACATTTATTTTCAAGCACTGCTGAATCCAGTGATTACGGTGAATGGAAAAAAATAGAATACAAATCAAAAAGGGATAATTGACACGCCTGATTAAATATTTTCACGAGGATTTCATTTTATTTTATTTCACCTACCTTCCAGTATTATGTAAACACAACTAAGATAATATCATTTCTCCACAACATGTGTAATTTCTAAGCCTTCATTTTTTTTCATAACCTGCAAACAACAACTGCCAAAGCTTTTACAATCCGCTCAGCTGCGGCATCTTGAAGATGCACACATCCCTGTGGGAAGCACAGTGCCGGGGCCTAACCCGTCTCAAGCTGTTCGTTGTTTATGGCTGCTTAAACACAGTCTCACATCCTATGGCTATTCATTGCCAAGGGCATGGAGCTGAACCTTTCCGTGTTGCATCTCACGCTTGTGTTAAAGCACACGGTCATGCTCCGCTTGCTGAACACGCGGGGGATTTAAAAAGAGAACGTGGCAAATCAAAAAGTATTCACCTGGATTTTCAGGACAAATACAAAAAGACCTGGAAAAGTTTTTGGTATCGAAGAGTAGAATAGGCACTGTACAACAACAACGTTGGAAATGTATCACCATCATTAGGGACCGTCCATAAATGACGTCACGCGATTTTGGACGATTTTTTACCCACCCCCCCCCCCCTTGTCACACGGCGTCACAAAAAGTCAGACCTCCCCTGAAATATGACGTCACAAAGCTCTGCCCCCCCCCCCCCCCCCCAATAAAACATGCTTCAAATCTTTTTTTTATTGCATATTTATGTTTGTTACTTATTTACTGTTTTAAGTTCACTCGTTTCCGGTTAGTTTGTTTTCTTTGTGCACGTTATGATTTTAATGTTAACAATTGATAGTGGAATGTATTACAAATGTAAACTTCGTATTAATATGATAGAACTAAGCTGCGGTAACGACGTTAAATATTAGAATGCATGCGGGGTATATGGAGGTGCGGGCTATCTGAAATTTGTTTTACACAAAACGCAATTTTTGCGGGGTATATGCGGGAAAATTCGGTACGGGCACATGCATTGCCACCACCGCCTGGCTAAAGGTGCAGCCCTGCAAAGCACTGTTAGTACTGCTTGCACTGTGTTGCGAGTCGAAGGGCCTCAGCAAAAGGGAGTTCTAGAAAGCCCCTCTCGATAATGACTGACTCTTTCTCGCTGAGGTGTGCGTACCCACACTCTACCCCACCACACGTGACCTGCCAATCCACTACCTGTGTTGTACCCACTGCTGGGTGGACAGAGGCAAGGGGGGTGGGGAAGGAGGCA